GCGGGGAGCTTGCGTACTCTCCCAGTACGTACCACCGGGATAGATAGAGCCCATTCTAGGCTGCACACTTTGGGCAGCACGTATAAGATGCCCAATGCTGTTATCGTCGTGAAGCCAGATCGCCAACGCTGAAATTATACACAATCCCCTTTAGGAGCCGCCCGTTCGTGCAAAGCCTCCTTCGCGCCTGCGCTCCTGCCACCCCGCTAAATCTGGGCAAGGCCGACCCGCTTATTTAGCACACCCAGTTCTTGCCTCTGCGCACAAGAACCTCAACCTCAACACCGCCGCCGAACTTGTAAGCTCCCCGAACACCTCCGTACCCTTTTTACTTTTTCACCGCTAGCTGCATCTCTGAGCCTTCCCACTGACGCTCAATTGCTCCAGCGCTCTTACATCGACACCCATCTACAACTCCACGTCTACTCTAATCTCACCCTAATCAATCAACATGGAGGGTAAGCAGCTCCACCCCGACCGCCCCGTGTCCTGACCATCGCCGTCCACCATGCCCTCTATCTCAATGAGCTCTGCTAACCTCGATTGCCCACTACAGAGGAAGTCGCAGCCCTCGTCATCGACAATGGGTGAGTTGGCACCCCCCGAAGCCCAACACCGCCATCCCTGCCGTGGAGGGGCTGTCCGCGCCTGAGCCTTATCTGAGCCGCGACGACGTCCTCCACGACAGCGCGCCATGTTCGGAGATGAAATGAGCTTGAGCTGACAATCCCCAGTTCGGGTATGTGCAAGGCCGGTTTCGCCGGTGACGATGCGCCCCGAGCAGTCTTCCGTAAGTACCTCCATTTCCGCCTCCCAGCTGCGGCGGGATCGAACGCCATCTCGAGAGCACTTCTGACAGCTTTGCAGCTTCCATCGTTGGCCGACCGCGTCACCATGGGTACGATGAACCCCCCGTAGCCCCTACGCATTCCGCCGTCTAACAACAAACAGTATCATGATTGGTATGGGCCAGAAGGACTCATACGTCGGTGATGAGGCACAGTCGAAGCGTGGTATCCTGACCCTGCGATACCCCATTGAGCACGGTGTCGTTACCAACTGGGACGACATGGAGAAGATCTGGCATCACACTTTCTACAACGAGCTGCGTGTTGCCCCCGAGGAGCACCCCGTCCTGCTCACCGAGGCTCCCATCAACCCCAAGTCCAACCGTGAGAAGATGACACAGATTGTTTTCGAGACCTTCAACGCTCCCGCCTTCTACGTCTCCATCCAGGCCGTCCTGTCCCTGTACGCCTCCGGACGTACCACCGGTATCGTGCTCGACTCCGGTGACGGTGTCACTCACGTTGTCCCCATCTACGAGGGTTTCGCTCTTCCCCACGCCATCTCCCGTGTCGACATGGCTGGTCGTGATCTGACTGACTACCTCATGAAGATCTTGGCTGAGCGCGGTTACACCTTCTCCACCACTGCCGAGCGAGAAATCGTCCGTGACATCAAGGAGAAGCTCTGCTACGTCGCTCTCGACTTTGAGCAGGAGATCCAGACTGCCAGCCAGTCCTCCAGCTTGGAGAAGTCCTACGAGCTTCCCGACGGTCAAGTCATCACCATCGGCAACGAGCGTTTCCGTGCTCCTGAGGCTCTCTTCCAGCCTTCCGTCTTGGGTCTTGAGAGCGGTGGTATCCACGTCACCACTTTCAACTCCATCATGAAGTGCGATGTCGACGTCAGGAAAGACCTGTACGGCAACATTGTCATGGTACGTTGAACGCTATAAACTCGCAAAACACAGCTAACAGCAGCCAGTCTGGTGGAACCACCATGTACCCCGGTATCTCCGACCGTATGCAGAAGGAAATCACCGCCCTCGCCCCATCCTCGATGAAGGTCAAGATCATCGCTCCCCCGGAGCGCAAGTACTCCGTCTGGATCGGTGGTTCCATTCTCGCCTCGCTCTCCACCTTCCAGCAGATGTGGATCTCAAAGCAGGAGTACGACGAGAGCGGTCCCTCCATCGTCCACCGCAAGTGCTTCTAAGGTACTGGAGGTCATGCGTATACGCGATTCATCGACTGACGGTTTTCTTCCAAGCGTGTTCTTGCGTACGGTTCTCGAGATCATGACAAGCCTAGTAGCGGGGGCATCCTTGTATTGGTGCCTTGTTATCCCGGGGTTTTACACATGTCGATTGTCCACAAAATAGCACAGCGGGCCAATGGTTGGGTGTTTGAGTTATGGAGGAGCTTGAGCTCACATGGGGGTGTAGGATCTTAAGATTGTAGCTTAGAGCCTATGGACACTTTCATATCCCTTACGATCTTTGGCTGTCTCTGCGTGATGAGTAATTATGTGACAACGCAATCTGCAGCTGCAAGCTCATGTGTATCTTAAAACCTCGACCTGGCACGTATTCACGTGAACGTACGACAGTCAAACACGTGCGACGCGTCGCAAACGTGCCTGCCTTTTGATCAAAGTAGCGACGTGTAGAACTGCACATGTGGAACGAGTGGTTGGACATCCCTGCTAGCGCGGAAGTGAGTCCTCGCGGGAAGGCACGAAGCGACGCGTTCCTCTGCAAAATGCCTACTTGCACCCTTCCATCTCACGCATGAATCAGCATGATATGACTCAAATCCTCATATAGGCTCTCCTCGTCTTACCCAGCATTTACGTCGTTCATTTTACTATTTATCGTTGTTGCCGCGACGCTGGTCATACTGGGGCGATTGCCTCCGAACTCAAACCGTTCACGCGACTTCCGCATCTAAAGTTGCCCGAGCGGCCTCTATCCAGTTAGGATGTCTACATCATCTAGCAAACCCGCTGATGAGAACACACCTCTCCTAACCCAAGTAGACCCAACACCGATAACAGAAGATCAATCGATCGACCCTTCATCTCAGCAAGATGACATCGAAGAAGAAGACCAGGATAAGCCACTGCCCAAAGCTCAGATCTTTCTCCTGTGCTTTACGGTATGCGTGGCGCCGATCTCATTCTTCTCCATCTTCCCTTACATCAACTTCATGATAGAGAGGGTGGGGAATGTGGATAAGGAGGATGTTGGGTTTTACTCGGGCTTGATTGAGAGCTTGTTTAGTGCGACGCAGATGTGTGTTATGATCTTTTGGGGGAGGGTAAGTACCACTGGTTTCGCTGTAAAGGAGGAAAGACACTTGCTGACATAGCATCTAGGCTTCTGATCGATATGGGAGGAAGCCTACTCTCGTCATATCTTTGTTGGGCTTGACTGTCGCCACGACTCTCTTTGGAATGAGCCAGACCCTCTGGCAAATGGCATTGTTCAGATGCCTGGGTGGTGCCTTTGCTGGAACGGTCCTCACTGTCCGGGCAATGATTTCTGAGAACAGTACTAAACATACCCAAGCGCGAGCTTTCAGCTTCTTTGCTTTCGCTAGCAACATGGGTATATTCATCGGTCCGCTGATAGGTATGTGTCCCGCAACGCCATGAGCCAACAATGAGCTAAGTACAGATCTATAGGTGGTGCACTCGAACGCCCTGCGGATAAGTTCGCATCAACCTTTGGCAAACTGCAGTTCTGGCATGACTTTCCCTACGCGCTTCCTAATTTTGTCGTATCGGCTCTCGCTATCTCTGCAGCAATCACAACGATGCTTTTCGTTAAAGAAACACTGCACATCCATGGCGACAAGAAGAAGGCCGCAAAATCCACCATGTCTACCTGGGAGCTGATCAACCGTCCCGGCGTTATGCGAGTACTGGTCGTATACAACTACGTAATGCTCATGGCGTTCACATTCACAGCCGTCTTTCCAGTCGCCCAATACACACCCGTCAAACTAGGTGGCCTCGGCTTCACCGCAGAGCTCATCGCTGCATGCACAGCGTTGAACGGAGTATCTCAGGCAGCCTGGCTACTCATTGTATTCCCTGCGCTACACAAGCGTGTGGGTACTGGCTATGTGCTTTATCTATGTGCATCAGTCTGGCCACTTCTATTCATCGTCGGTCCGGTATACAATTTCCTACTCCGGCATGGGCATACTACCATCTTCTGGGCTACTGGGCCACCTCTTCTAGTCCTTGCAAGCGGAGTGTCGATGGCCTTTAGTAAGTCTCCAGAAACACCTGTATCTTGCCTCGCTAACGTACGTGACAGCCAGCGTCCAGCTCGCGCTCAACGATATATCACCCTCACACGAAACACTCGGTACACTTAACGCCGTCGCACTTGCGGCGCAGAGTGGCATTCGATCCGTAGCACCGGCTCTTGCGACTAGTATATATGCTATTGGCGTCAAGTACCATATCCTGGGTGGTCAGCTTTTCTGGCTTTGCCAGCTCGTTCTGTCATTCGGCTTGTTTGGGCTGTTGAAGCTGCTTCCTGCGAAGGCTAGGGGGGAAGTGAAACCGAAGCTGTTCAACGGCAGTGCTTGATGTATGGTTCTGTATAAATGGAAACACTACTCCTGCGCATGTCGTTTTGCCGACTGACATCGAAATAAAGCAGGAGACTCGTATATGCATGGATCTACTGTAAATCGAGCCGATGTTGTGGTAGTGTCGCTTGCGTGTATGGAAGCACATCGCCCACGATGAAGCATCACAGAAAGACTCGAGGAACGAATATCATCGTAGGCTTACGAAAGGGCAGTTACAAAGCTTACTCTAGACAAAAGACACAACAACTTCACAAGCGCCGTAAGAATCGCACATTCAGGTCAAGTCAACATCTTACTCTGGGCTAACTACAATAAGATTTGCACCTGCCTTATCTAGAGCCTGCGGAGACCTCCCACCTCCACTAGGTAAAGATAGTCGACTGAAGATTCTCACGGAGACAGCAATCGACTTCATAGGGTATAAATTTGCGCATATACTCTGACTGTGTAATCTAGATCACAGCCGATGGTTTGGGGGCTCAATTTAGCTTACGGGGGCGCAGCTGCCAAGCCTGCGTAGGCTGACACTACCTAGGTGTAGCTCATCCCCAACCTCAGCACTTCGCTTCCTACTCTACACATCCTCAATCAAATCTTGTCTCGACGATGAGACTCATCAACGTCAAGAACAAGAACCTGGAGGACTTTACAGGTCGTTCACCCCCAGAATACGCTATCCTGTCTCACACATGGTCACCCCCAAAATACGCTATCCAGTCTCACACATGGGTTAGCGAGGAGATCACCTTCAGTGAGATGCAATCTCAGCAGCCTGATAAGGACAAGGCTGGTTGGAAAAAGATTGAGCTATCATGCAAACAAGCCGAGGATGATGGACATGGCTATGTTTGGTGCGATACTTGCTGCATCGACAAAAGCAGTAGCGCTGAGTTGTCGGAGTCCATCAACTCTATGTTTCGCTGGTACCAGGAAGCTGAAGTATGTTACGCTTTCCTCGAAGATGTCCAGGACATCAAAGGGCTTGCAAACGCCAAATGGTTCACGCGAGGGTGGACTCTTCAAGAACTCATTGCGCCCAAAAGCCTAGTGTTCTACAACAGCGCATGGCAAAACATTGGTACCCGAGAGAAGTTGGCAGACGTAATCGCGGAAAGGACTAAGATTCACAAGTCTTTTCTAAGCGGCTCTGTCAGCAAAATACATGAAGCGAGCTTTGCCAAACGAGTCGCTTGGGCAGCGAATCGCGATACAACAAGGGATGAAGATATCGCATATTGCCTCATGGGTCTCCTCGATGTCAACATGCCGCTGCTTTACGGGGAAGGAGATGTCAAAGCGTTTAGAAGACTACAAGAAGAATACCTCAAAGTCCATCCGGATCAGTCGTTTCTCGCGTGGCTACTTCCCCCAGGGGTTGGAGGGGCAAGGGCCTCCGATGGTGACCTTCTCGCCAGTCTTCCTAAGGACTTCGGACAGTGCCATGGGATATCTCTGGCAAGTGACGACGCTGTTCCCTTCACCCTGAACAATAAAGGGTTGCAAATTCGGCTACCCCTATTCCAGAACAGGAGTGTCGATGCCATACGAAGTCCCGAATATTTCGCCGTTCTCGCCTGTTATTCGGACGCGCCAACCTGAGTATCGTATTCGCATACCCCTACGTGCTGTTGAGAGGTCTGCCGAAACACTAGTTTTCTTGCCAAGCAGCGAGCACCATCGCGTCTCGACTGACGAGTTTGAAGCTGCACGTTTGACGAACTGCTTTATACTCAGGACACCACCGCCTTTAACCCCCCGGTTACTGTCACTCGATGACTTACCCGAATCATTAATCTTGTGGGAACCAAAGATCATCCATCTCAACACTTCGACTTCGACTTGGGATTGTCTGAGCGAACCTAAAGATCCAAAAATTCCGCCGATCCGAGTGCCCGACCAACGAGAGAAAGCCAGCTATGGGGTCGTTCTTCATCCTCCGTCTCCATACTCGGACAATACCAGCAGTGACTCTGAGAGCACAACGTGTTTGAAGGTTCTGATTCGAGTGGATGTTGGATTCAATGAGCGGTATGAAGTCAATGTACGCATCCAACTATTCCACGATACCAAGAATCAGATCTCCACGGACTTGGAGAATTTTCCCAGCCTGCCGTCCACAGAGATAACGTCAAATTCGCGCTCTCGGATTGTTGCCATATCCACCCAGCTGTCAGAAACAATCCATGCATTGGCCTCGTGGAAGCGTGCTTCGAGCCAAGATTCACTGTCCTTGAAGATCGATCTCACAGCGGTCGATAGGCATCGTGCGCATGAATTGGGCGTGCTTTCGATGAATGCGTTCGAGTCACTTCTTCCTCAAGATCCATTGGTGCACGGTATCTATGCAACAATACTTATGCTGGTCTTGATTATGTTAGGGCAGCCCAATACATTCCCCTTCGAGGCACTCGGATGTGGTCTATCCATGATATCACTCTACTACAAGCTACTTGAGGAAAGGCGGGTTACGGCGTACGCACGACCGGAATACAGGTTCCTCTATTGGCGCATACCATTTGTCCCTGCGATGTTACTTTTCAGTAATAACAATTTTATCGAGTACGACAAGGTACCCTCCGCTCGCTATTACTTAGCCGTACATTGGTCTGTGGCGATTTCGGCCACAGTCTCTGTGTTGTCGCATTTCTGGGAGCGCACAGGCTATAAATCTACGAAGGAGGACACCGTGTTGGCGGAGGCATTTGAAAGCACCATTGGACTTGAGAGTCTGTTGTTGAGTGATAAAAAATGATACAGAGTGATACAGAATGAAAGGCGATGGAATTAAATTTGAAACGCGACTGTACTGTGCAGTGGCATAGCTGATAATTACACAAGTCTTCACATGGGTTTAGTCTTTCTGGGTACGCGACACAGTAGTCTGGCTTCATCTAGGACGGAACACGTTATTTGCAAGTTTCCATCCTAATGTGGACTGTAGATCTGTTCACTTTCTTGTATGAGGTGAGAACGCGTAACGTTCAATCACTCATCTCTAGGGCTACCTTCCAGCACCCAAGCTACCAAGACTGTCGCAAATTCCCGAGCCACAATGATGTACAACACCACTGCAACCCTCCACGTCACCCCCAAGAAGCAAAGTAGCACCTCTAACGGCCCGTCTCGGCGTCATCGACCCGCGCCGACAGCACCACCACAACCACCCGAGCCATGACGTCCTTCAACACACGGAAGCTGAAACACGTGCAGTCACGATAAGGCTACACAAGCAAGCAAGCATTGCTTTGCACCAAATCCCAGCCCCCCAGCCATCGCTTATCTGCGCTTCCCCGTCGCAGCTCGTGCAGCCAGAACATCGGCGTGATGACATCGAAGGCGGGATGATCACACAACACCCAACCACCCCCCAGCCAGAAACACGCAATTCTCTGCCCAGCCAGACAGCGTGTCCAAAAGCCGCCCGCGGACACACACCCCGTGCGATCGACATTGCGTCCTGCGACGCAAAAAGTTGCGGCTAAACAGCTGTCGTGCACGGCTTGCGATACGTATCGTGAGGAAAACGTCGACTCCGCACTGCGGCGATCAAACGTCATGCATCGTGATAAGTGAGCATGAGTCGGGACTGTCGCACAGTCACGCAGTTCCCGATTCAAGTTTCCTTTTCGCACATCCTCCGTGTTCGCGTCGGGAGAACGCTGCGCGGGAGTGACTTTTATTGAAACGTGTATCAATACAAACAGCATCCATGTCAGGAGCAAAGTAAGGCTGCTAAGATGTGGGCGACGAAACACTCCGCGTCTTGGCCCGGGCAGAAAATGCGTGACAAGCAATTGGCAAGCCTTTTTTCCCATTGTCAGAGCGCCTGAGGATCGGGAGACTCGATCAAGGCGCGACGCGTTGTGCTGCCGATGCGAAGAAGATGCGACAAGCGTCACAATGGCATCAGCCATCGTCGTCGTGAACGATCCGATGCGACGCGCTGCGATGGCATGGGGGGCTTGTCCACGGGTATGTCACTTTGCCCAGACAGGCGCACGCGAAAGGGTTTAGTTCCAACCGTCACGGAGGCTCGGCACGCTATTAAGGCCACCCAATATAACCAATACACCACTGGATCGCGACGAAAACGTTGGCCGGAGATGCGCATCACCATCTAGCCCAACCTCTTTTCGAAGTAGTCTCTTCGGGGGTACTATTAGTTCGTAGGCTTTACGTGGCAGACTTGGAATATTGCGATGCGATACGGAAAAGGAGTACAGCGACCGTGTCTCGATCTCTTAGTCTCTCGAGAATGCTATTGGGTGGGTGAGCAAGATAGCTAATGTCGTTCTAAGTAATCAATTGCTTCACCGTGCATGTGTGTCACGTTCGCCTAAGCATTACATGCCTTGCGCGAGCTGCTGCACAAAGTATGTCATGTTCGCGATAGCTTGCATGGGCTTGCCCAGCCGTTGGTTGGTGCATTAGTAGAGGGAGGCGATGGCGTGCAGCTGTCGCTTTACCCCGCTTGGGAACTGGCAGAGAGGGTGAGCTACCACGAGCTATCTACCCCGCGTGCTGTTATGGTTTGCTCCGCGCAGAAGTCGTAAGTGGCTTGACTTGGGTATGCATGCTGTGTGACCACCAGCTGTTGTTCTTATCGGTGTTGTGTTGACGGAACGTAAGGCGGGTGACTAGCGGCAATTGGAAAGCCGTGAATCTTTCCGATGTACTAGCGACGCGTAGGACTTCGCGTGAACTTTATTGCACAGAAATGATTGGGGGAATTCATTGAAGCTCAAGATGGAATTCAAAACAGAATTTGAAGTAGAAGAAGTTGGCTCACGTCAAGCAGGTCACAGCGATGATTGCAATCGGGGTATTAATTTGAGACAATGAAATTATGCTTCTTGGTATACATGAGAAGACTAGCAAGACAGTGATGAAAAATTAACCTTGCTTCAGGTGGGTTCATCAATCCCGTACAAATATCCAAATACATATCGCGTCATGGTTGAGTAGCGACCCTAATTTACTCGTCATCCTCCTCTTCAACAGCACGGGGAGCAAGGACGTAGCGGGTTGTACCGTGCTTGTCCTTGCCGTGCTCGAGAGACAGCTTGCTGAGGGCAGCAATCATGTTCTCAATGGCAGGGTTCTTGCGGCTGCGGTCCTTGCGGCCGAGGGTGTCGAGCCATGCGATGCGGTTAAGCATGTAGTAGACAATGGCGATGATGATGGTGACACCAATGGAGTAGGCCCAGACGACAACGACGGTGACAATGTCGACCCATCCGTCGTCACGGAACCTGCTGTTGATGGTGGGAGGGTTGGTCTGGTAAGGAGCACCGGACATCCAGCCGAAGAGGGTGAAGATGGTCGCGAGAGCGTCGACACCGAGAATAGCGATAATCAGCTGGAATGAGGGGAAGGTCTTGCCACCACGGGTAACGAAGATCAACCAGTTCTCAGTAAGAGCAACCTCGAGGAAGAGAATGGGCTGGATAGCACCGAAGTTCTGGATGATACCTCCGCTGGGGATGAAGAGAGTACCACGGACGATCCAGGTACCGAGAGCAAGGAGGAGACCGAGAATGACGGAGATGAACCAGATCTTGGGCAGTTGCCATTCGACGGGGCGTTGCTCAGAGTGGGCATTGTCGTAGGCGACAGCGACGGTGGCCAAATCAGCGAAGAGGGCAAGGAAGACGATGAGCTCAGCGCGGATGGTCTCGTTGAGGATGATCATGGAGGTGACGAGGTAGACTTCCAAGTGCAGGCAGAGAGCGATACGGTACTGGATGTAGGCCTTCATACGCTGGAAAATCTGGCGAGAAGTCTTGATAGCCAAAACAATGGTGGAGAGACCGGGGGCAAGGAAGACGATATCAGCGGCAGCCTGGGCAGCCTCGGTGGAACCCTCGACGGCAATACCACAGTCAGACTTTTTGAGCGAGGGAGCGTCGTTGACACCGTCACCAGTCATGGCAGTCAAGTGGCCACGCTGTTGGAGCATCTCGACGACCTGGTACTTGTGCTCAGGGAAGACTTCAGCGAAACCGTCGGCGCGCTCAACGAGGTCGTGCTGGGTAGTACCAGTGAGACCACCGCCGATGAGCTTGGAAGAGTTGTAAACCTTGGTACCGAGAGCAAGCATCTTGCAGGTCTCCTTAGCGATGGCAATAGCGTCACCAGTCAACATCTTGACGGGAACACCGAGCTGCTGAGCCTCAATGATGGTCTGAGCGGTATCCTCACGAGGGGGGTCGAACATGGACAAGAGACCGAGAAGGATCCAGTCACCGTCGTTCTTCTGGTAAGCGACACCGAGAGATCGGAAACCACGGCGAGCGAACTCAGCGGCCTTTTCCTTGTAGAGGGTAGCGGTGACCTCGTCGCAGTTGGCAAGGTTGACAATGGCCTTGGGGGCACCCTTGGCGCAGACGTACTTGTCGCCGCCCATGTGGCAGACAGCAGTGATACGCTTGGAGACGGGGTCGAAGGGGGTGAACTTCTCAGTCTTCCAGCCCATGTTGAGGATCTCGCGGGCCTTGGGGTAGCGGCGGATGGTAAGAATGGTAACCTTGTCAATGGGGTCGAGCGACTTCAGGTTGTGGGAAGAGGCAAGAGCAGCGACAGCCATCATCCAGTTGACG